CGCTCTTCCTTGAAATTATCTTTGCCCTCAAGATTCATAAAACGAAATCACCAAGCACAGTAGTGACGTAATTTGGGATTTTCTCTTTTAGAAAAACAATTCCTGAAGGTTCACTGTAGTCAGTAGTACAAAAGCTAGAATTGAGAGGCCTTCTTATTTATGTTCTATTGGTTTATTCCAAAGAGATAGTTTAAAGAATGTTTGTTTCTGAAAGTTCTCCAGTTGTGTTTCTGGAAGTTTAGGCTAGTCTCTCAGATGTATTAGGTGCCTCCAGTGTCCTTTTTGAAGTGAGTACTGCAGAATCACGCCCATCGCTGAGATGGGTGTTACTGCCCAAGAAGAGATGTTTGGGGGTCCTCTAGATCCATAAAAAGGGAAATTTAAAACAATTTTGTTCTGTTGCCATTTATGTTTGGTGTAAACAGATGGTAGATCTTTCCATTCTCCTCAAATTAGAATTTTCCCCTTTCCCCCTTTTTAAAACTTGGATTTCTTAGCCATAATATTCTATAACTGTTAAGTTCTACTTGGAGGAGATTTGCTGGCGTGAAAGGACCCAGTTCAAAAAGAAAAAGAAAGAAAGACAAGAAAAAACTTCAGGAAAAAATACTGAACTGTACTTAACCCTGTAGTGAGTAATAGTCACACATTCCTAACGTAAAAGATGTTGATTGGTTTTCAACTTTTAGAATCTACCTGTAGACAAATATGAAAGACTTTATTAAAGAATAGAAGAACAGAATTTCTTTTACACAGAGTGGAAGAAAATGTAAAGTAGGCCATACTTTGAGTGTGGAGGGGGGAAAGCTGGAAGGAAGGGTAGGATGTTAATATCCTTATCCTGTGAGGTAAATAGTTGAGAGATATGGTCTCCAGCAGGAAGAAAAAGAAATAAAAGTGTAAGTCTGTTACTGAAAATGCAAAGGTGACCAGTAGAGGCTGGTGCAGGAGAGATGGGGGGAGAGGGAACAGCGATTATAATGCTATATAGCTTCTGTTCAGAGAGATGGAGGTGGTCACCAAGAAAACAGCTGTTGCCTCTGGGTGTAGAGGGGAGTGGGATGGAAACTGTTTGTCCTTCATTATAAGCACTTCAGCACTATTTGACTTTTAAATTATGCACGTTTACTAACTTTCATACATTTAAAAATGTTTTAAAGCAAGAAACACTTGCTCCATGTTATAACATAAGCAACGGCAAAGACGTGTGAGGATGGGCTGTCTCTATTTCCAGTTGAATTTTTTGAATTAGTAAACTTAGAAAGTTTAAACCATTTGGGAACGGTAGTTACCACTCTGGAATGTAAATATCTAGGGTTTTTCACAAGATTTGGGAAAGGAAGAGTCCATTTTTTTAATCACCTTTCTGATTAATAGATAATACGTGCAGATGTTAAGAAATGAAATAAATTAAGAATATACATAATGTTGGATACACAGACTTTTTTTGCTCCTGAGAATAAAACTTTCATCCCTGTTTCTTTCTTCTGTTTGTCTCTTTCTCTTCCAGAAGCCCTTCAGAGGCCAGTAGCCTCTGACTTCGAGCCCCAAGGTCTGAGTGACGCAGCTCGTTGGAACTCTAAGGAAAACCTTCTCGCTGGTCCCAGCGAAAATGACCCCAACCTTTTCGTTGCACTGTATGATTTTGTGGCCAGTGGGGATAACACTTTAAGCATAACTAAAGGTAAAAGAGCTGTGGGCAGCTGGTGATCGTTGGCAAGAGAGAAATCCGGGGAAGCCGGAGCCGGACTGGCTGCCCCTTTGCTGGTGGAAAGAGTAGCTTTAGTTTGGAACGCAGAGAGACCCGAAAAACTAACAGCATATCCTTACAAGAGTCACTTTTCCTTAAGAAGAGTTCCTGCGTAGTTCTTGGCAAAAACAGAGCTTTCCCTATTTTATACTGAAAAAGACACATCTGGACCAAACACTGAAAACACTTTTTTTTTTTTTTTTTTAAGAAAAAGCATCTTTCCACTAAAAGCTTCCTTGTATTAGAAACAAAGCACTTGAATAATAGATTTATAAAAACTGAGGCTATATATTTATCTGCATATCCAGTATAAACAGGAAGCTTCATACTCATACGCTTGTAAATACATATATTTATGTGGACTTGTTAAAATGAAATAGGTATTTAGGAGTTTGGAGATCTTTAGTAATCATAGAAGAGTACATGAGAATGAACGAATTAGCTTTTAAAACTGATATGTCTGATTTGGTTCTTTTCTTCTAAGGTGAAAAGCTCCGGGTCTTAGGCTACAATCACAATGGGGAATGGTGTGAAGCCCAAACTAAAAATGGCCAAGGGTGGGTCCCAAGCAACTACATCACGCCAGTCAACAGTCTGGAGAAACATTCCTGGTACCATGGGCCCGTGTCCCGCAACGCCGCTGAGTACTTGCTGAGCAGTGGGATCAATGGCAGCTTCTTGGTTCGGGAGAGCGAGAGCAGTCCTGGGCAGAGGTCCATCTCGCTGAGATACGAAGGGAGGGTGTACCACTACAGGATCAACACTGCTTCTGATGGCAAGGTAGGGGGCCCCAGGCAGGGGAGCCTATGGGCCAGGGTGGGGACAAGAGGTCCTGCCGCTAGGTTGATAAGTTTTTGCAACAAAGCTCAACCAAGAAGATGTTTGAAACAGCAGGCATCATCCCACTAGCCTTGTTAAAGACCCTCCGTTGAGGACCGATCATGGGACATTCCAAGTCCACAGGCTGATGTGGTTCTCTAATTGTCCTGCTGGAGTTTGGTTATTAGCAGGTTCATAAGATAAGTGGATCGTCTGTTGGGTTTTGGATGTATTTCTTACACTAAGACTCTTCCTTTTTTTTTAAAAAAAATCTCTTATTATGAAAGTAATTTATCCTCAGTGAGGAAAAGTCACACAATAGATGGTTGTTTTGGGGAGGTTTAATAACCCCTCCCCAAAACAAGTCTGGTACGTGGCTTTCTTTCTATAGATAAGATCACGTGTGTGTGTGTATGTGTGTGTGTATAATACATATATACACACAGTTTTTAAACAAAAATGGGATCACGTCATACCCATACGTATATTTCCAAACCCGAACTGTAGTTTTGTAAAGGAGTTGATATATATGGTTTTGTGGTCATCATATAAACAGTCATTAAGAGTCCATGAAGGGAAGGGAGAAATTAACATTTACTGAGTTCCTACTGTTTGCTGGGGCATTTTTCAATCTTCATTTCTTTTAAACCTCACCTTAGTCCTCAGGGCAGATACTGCTTTCAGCTGCATTTTTTTTTTTTTTTTTTTTTGACAGAAAAATCCTCTCACTGTCGTGGCCTTTCCCGTTGCCGGACGCGCAAGCTCAGCGCCCATGGCTCACGGGCCCAGCCGCTCCGCGGCATGTGCAATCCTCCCGGACCGGGGCACGAACCCGTATCCCCTGCATCGGCAGGCGGACTCTCAACCACTGCGCCACCAGGGAGGCCCTCAGCTGCATTTTTGCATTAAAGAAATGAAGGCTTAGAGGGATAAAATTTCTTGCTGAAGATCACATAGTGAGTGAGTAATTGATGGGAACTAGGCTCAGATTCCACTGTCTGCTCCACTGCACCATGCTGTCATTGAGGGTGTAGATAGGTGGATTGTCGGGATGGGCCCAGATGGTGTATGTATTTTTTTAATAATATGTAATGCATGCACATGGTTTAAAAAAAAAAAAATGAATTGCCGTGAAACATAATTCTGTCTCCTAATTCAGTTCCCCTGCCCAGAGGCAACCACTGTGACCAGTTTCTTCCAGAGATCCCCAGTATATATATGTTGATATTTTTTAAAAAGCGCAAATGATGCATAATCTACACTGTTCTGCATCTTGCTTTTCCCACCTAATAATATATTTTGGAGATTGTTTTATGGCAGCATATTTAGAGCTGCCTCATTCTTACTAATGACTGCCTAGCATGGATGGACCATCATTTATTTAAGCAGTCCCCTGCTGGCTAACTTTTAGGCTGTTTCTAATCTTTTGCTATTATAAATAATGCTGTTGTAAAGTGGATTTCAAACCTTTAAAAAAAAATAGCCCACTGTAAAAAAAAAAAAAAAGTTTTACATCACCATCCAGTACACACACTAGGAACAGAAGGTTCATGAAACCCTACTTACTGTACGTAATGCATTCTGATATTTTATATACCGTTCTATTCTGTTTCATTTTTTTTGAAACTCCTGGTCATAATGCACTGAGTTTATTTCATAGACCCACTAGTGGGTCACGGCTGGCATTTTGAAAGTACACTGCACATAATTCTTTGTGTACAGTCCAAGCATATGCAAGGTAAGTTGCTAGAACTGATTGGAGGTTATGTGTATTTAAAACATGTATAGATATTGCCAAATTACTTTCTTTAGAAATGGTACAGATGTGTTTTCTCACCAGCAGTGTTGTGAGAGTGCGTTTCCCCTTCCCCTCATCAGCAGTATATTCTCAGACTTGTAAAAACAATCCCTGTCACTGATTGGTAAAGATGGTATCTCATTATGTTCAATATACCTGTGCTTCCTATGCCATTTACTAAACTCATCCTTTCCTGTGTATTTGAGGTATACCAAATTTGCATATGTATTTAGGTCTGTTCTCTTCCATTGGTCTGTCTGTTCATATGCCAGAATCAGACTTTTAATTGTTATGGCTTTATAATGTGTTTTAATATCTGGTAGGGCTAGTTTAGTTCCCTCTTCTTTTTTTTTTTTTTTTTTCCGGCCGTGCCATGCGGGGGGCCTGCAGGATCCTAGCCCCCCCACCCTCCAATGACCGGGGCTCGAAACCACGCCCCCTGCAGTGGAAGCGCAGAGTCCTAACTACTGGGGACTGGGAAGTCCCTAGTTCCCATTTCTTAATCTTGCTAGCATTTTCATGGCTGTCCTCACACATTCATTTGTACCATACAAAAGCACAATACGTTTCTTTTTTCAGTGTTCTTATCTGTTGTTTTTTCCACATGTCTCAAAGTCTTCTGGCTAAAGTCCTTATTGCCAATATCTGATCCTTTTCGTCATTGCACATGTCTTTTTACCAGCACTGTAGTCTGTAGGACAGACAGCATAGTCTGCCTTTGACGTGTGACCAGAGATCGGCCTCATCAGCATGCTTTTCAGGTCACTGTTCTCATCCCAGATGTGGAACTAGGTCCTCCATTCTGTGGGATATATTCCAGGGTGCTGGGCCCTTTGAAACCTTGGCTTCAAACCACAAGGGTGCCTTTTTAGTGAATTAGAACACCAGAGTGCACCGCCCGTGAGGGAGGTGATTTCTTGGAGCTGACAGCTTGCTTTCCATCTGTGCCGTTTATCCAGGGTGAGCCCCGCTGCACCACGGTAATCACTTGAGGTTTGTCCTGAACAGGATAATGGTTCCTTTTCCCTGGAGTTGTTTAATCAGCATCCTTGGAACAGATGCAGGCAAGCATGATCTAGTCTGACAACTCGTTAGCTGGGGGTTGGTCTAAAATATGGTTAAAAGGGGGAGAGCAAAGCCTACGTGGATACATGATTTGCAGAATTTGAGAGTCATCTGACGAGGAAGCTGAGCCCTCTGTCTAAAATCTCATGTGTGCCAGGTGGTTCCCTTCATTCCAGGTAGAGCACAAGGAACCCATTTGATCAGGCTGTATCCGCTACTCATCAAAGTGACCTGGGCATCTTGCCCTCGTCCTTCCCTCCCCGGCAAAGACTCTCCCTTCAGCTGTCCGAGCACCTGGAGACTTCTCAACCCACGGGGTCATCAGGCCACACTCGAGGGGGCTCTGTTGGGTGGGATTATATTCCTGGAATGAGTGGAACAGTGTCAGAATCGGGGAGGGGGCCGTATTATAACGACGCATGGGACAGTGTGGCTCGGCGTTGAAAAAAAGCTGCTCACATAGCAGAGCTTTGATGCAATCCTTTTTGGATTTCGAAGGGGAAAATTTAAAGTTTGGTGGGAGGAATAGGCTGGGGTTGAGTAAGTTTTAATTCTTATTTTCAAATTAGCTAATCTTCAGAAAACAACTGAATTTAGAAGATTCTTCTCTAAGGCCCCAAAGGATTTCTTTCTGCCTCCACCCTCTTGGCTCTGGTTTACCTTCCTCCCATGTTCCTGAGCTTTCAGCAGCCGTTGTCAGTTGGTCAGTCAGCCCGGGGCCACCGGCTCAGGGCCCAGAGCGTAGGACTCTGGGAGTTTCAGCCTAGACTCTTGAAAGCACCATACCAAACTGAGCCATTGCTGTTTCCTAGGCGTCCTGAGAGTCTTAACAGCTCTCGGATACCCTGGGATTTGGTTTTCATTCTTACTGCTTTCTTAAAGTTTGGAATCCTCTGCCAATGCAGTGGAATTAAAGACTGATTTTCCTCCTCCACCACCCACCCCCGGTCCTTCTGCACTTGTTCTGGTTATTTGTGCCTGCATCTTATGTACCTGGGCGGGATGCTGCCACCAAGCCCCACGATTGTAGCCCTTGATAGAGTCTTTCCTCTCCTTCCTTTTCTCCAAGAGGTGCAGTTGACGTTTATTTTCATGGTCTCCTAAAGTGACAGGTTTGAGTTGACAGGAGTGGAATTCGGGCATCAGCTTTAGCAGAGGTGGCAGGACACTGGCTCAGCAGGTACAGGCATCTGGTGAAAAGCCTGCTAAGCCGTTGGCTGATCTTCCCTTGTCAAGGAGACTGGGAGCATTATTATTAAGTACTGCTCCATTATTAAACACTGCCTTCCTGCTGGTATGTGAGTAGCTTGGAGGTCGGTTGCGGGGTGGGGGTCACTTCCTGGCCTTGCAGCCTGTAAGTACTACGTCCCAGGTGGGACTCCAGGGTCTGAGGCAGCCAAAGGTTGCACACGTCCGATAAGCCTGTGACGCTGGCTGTCAGGGGGAAAGCTGTTTCTGGTGAGTTTCTTTGACAAGTCCTATCTTTCGGGTCCCTGCCTGATTAGGAAGAGGCACACCCTGGCTGAGCACCCAGAGTGTTTATGTAACTGGGTGCATAGCATAATGACACGCCATTCATAACACTAATTTCACTTTCTTCTGTGAACATGCCATGAATTCCTGATGAAGATTACCCAGTTCGCTAGCAAAATGCTGCTCACAAACTAGCACTAATCAGAGGGAAGCCGCCAGACTTGACTGTTAGAAGATGGCTGTGCAGTACATTTAAGGGAGTTTCAATATTTAATGTGTTGCTATGTTGGTATTTTATGTTGAAAAATGAACTAAGTTTTGGGGTCTGTAAATTTAATTATTGAAAAAGATAAAGTTTGCCCATTCAGTGAAACCTCCCATAACTCTGAAACCTCTAATAAAGGAGCCTGAGAGGGAATCAGCTGAGACCAAGAACAAATTCTGCATAAGCTAGGGCTTCGGGGAGCCACGGAGCCATTAGCATTCTGGGCGGTTGAGTGAACTTAATCTTGGGGCTGGGCAGTGCTCCTTTCAGGCTGACAGGGAGAAATAGGTAATGAGCCTTGCTCCCAGGCGACCTGCCCCAGGAGCCCAGCAAGTGAAACAGGCCCTTTTGCGTGTACTGTGCCAGTGATTTCCAAGGCGGGAGGGGTGCTGTGGCTCCAGGGGGGTGCCTTCTTGGAGTGGGTTTTCTCTCCTCTCGTCCCTCCCAAGTAGGAAAAGTGCCCACCAGCTGAGTAGCCAGAGAGAAGAGGGCTTGGAGCATTTGCAGCCTGTAGTGAAACAGTTGGACAGCTGACTTCTCCAGAGAGGGGCGAGGATTTGGAACTCTCCCCGCATCCCCTACTCGATCATCTTTGTGAATTGCACGTGCATTGGTGACTAACACCGAGGGGAGTGCCGTGTTGTCGGCGTGCGGGCCTTAAGCTAAGGGCAGGCTCAGCGGTGCCCGCCTCTGCCCCCCACCCCGACCCAGCCCCCGGCACGTTCAGGGGCCTGAGTGAGGCTCATGGCCTCTCCCTAGAGTGGTTCACTTAGAGGTCTCTCCTCGGTGACCTGAGGTCTAAAAGTAGGGCCTCCTCGCGGGCTGCCTCCTCACCCTGAAAGGTCCTGCCGTTGTTCAGAGGCACCGTCTTCCAGAGGGACGAGGTCCCCAGGGCTGCAGAATCTTTCTGGACAGTTCTTGGGTTGCTCAGAATTTTATTTTAGTAGGGTTGCTACAGAAAGATTGTAAATTATAAATCTCTAAGCCAAAGGTTGCCATTGGCTTGCATGATTTTTAAAAATTTGTCTGTCATCTCCCCAAGCAAAAGAGGAAAAAAAACAATCCCCTGTTAAAGACTCCTGTTTACCCTCTTGAGACTTACAGATGGTCCAGATTGTATATTTGTTGTTATGTCCGTCTTCTGAAGTAATTTTATTGTCTCACATTTGCAAACATGCAGACGGTAATGGAGCCTGCCATCGCCAACAGCCCAGGCCTTGGCCCCGCCGTATGTGTTTCAGGCTTTTTCTTCCTGTTTCTTTTTTTTAAGTAGTAAAAGATATTACAGCCACAGCTGACTGATCCTGTCCCTTTTTGTCCCTCTGGCCTCAGGCATCAACCACTGTCCCAAATCTGTTTCCTCCTTCCCGTGTCTTTGCAGTTTGGGCACGTCTTAAATGAACACCTAGTCGTGATTCTTAGTATCCTTTCCACCTTCAGCCATCATGGGCTGCCCTTAGTGAGCCAACAGATTCAGTTACGTGCCTGGAGTCCAGATGTTCTGTGTGAATTTTAATGTGAATTGGTTTTGGTAAGGAGGTATCCCCTCACTACATCACCGAACCAAACAGAAAGGAGAGGAGAGGAAAGACAGCCGTCACCATCCACACTGTTGCTCTCTGCTGGCCTGCGCCTTTGCCTCCCTCCCCTTCGCAGCGTCCGGACGCGAATGACCCCGGGAGGGGCTCCCTGCACGGGTTCTCACCCGCTGTAGGTCTCAGTTAGAGACTCAACGGGCACTTGTGTCTCATCTCCCTTCTCCTGACTTCCCTGTGCCGGACGAGGCTGTACGGCCTCCGTGCAGCCCTCTCAGTCCCCACCCTGTCCTGGGAGAGCGCTGGCGGGGGCATCTCACGTGGGCATACTGCTGGGATTTGCAAGTCTTGCCCTCTGATGCTTCGTACTCAG